TAATAGACGCGACAGTTAATCAGCTTATTACGCAGAGTAATGCAAACATGTAAGCCAAACAAAGTAAATACATACTTTGTAGAAGTAACAAAACATATAACATTAAATTTAAGACTCAGCTTATAAGTTCTATAATCATAAATATTCTGTTAGGTTGTGACATTGACTTAACTAGATACTAAAACTGAGAGGATCAGGATCTCCTGATATTCTTATATCCTCCATAATCTACATCTCCAGTCATTTTTGTTTGTTTTTTCATCACCATACCTTATAATAAAATCAGTTGAAGACTCCAACGTTTTGAAATGCACAATGATAATTTATTGTAAAAACTAAAAAAACTGTATACGTTTTAGTGGAGCATGTTCTAAACAATCATAATAATGACCATACTTTTTCTTGTCATTGTTAACCTTCATTTTGTCTTCAGAGAACAATCTCACTTGTTGTTAATCATGGTTATTAAATATTTGACCGTATAGTCAAATAGTATTTAACTATAGTATTTAACCCCGTATAGTCTTCATTTATCACCATAACCTTTTTTATTTATACTTAGCATTTAACCTTTCTTAGCACTTCTATCATTCACTTTTTTTTTATCAGCCTTCTTAGTCATTCATTTTTATAACAAATCAGAATTGTGTAATCTAAGTTAGTTACATGCAGGTTAATGTACATGGATTTCTCTTTTAGCAGAGCTGTTGATGCCTAAAGAATATAACCTCCCTCAGCTATACTATAATGGAATGAATTATAAGTTCTGCTCCCACTATGGGAGAAAAGACATTGTTCCAATTGTGGGAGGATCTCTTACAATCTTAGCACAATCTATAGGCAGTGAGTATTGTTTATATTTCAGCAACAGTAGTACGTTAGTTATATCCTACCTTTTCCTTAAGATTACTTTCATGAACAATATTGGTTAGCATATTTATTATTATTATTGTATCATAAAGATTATTACACATTGTTAATTTAATTTGTGGATTTAGGACTAACGTCCATCTAATTGAGTAGTTGAGCTTTGAATAACGTTTACCATGGTGTGGTAGTTCATACTTGGACTACGGCCTAAACAAGTGAAACTTTTTGCCTCAATGTTTGTTAGAATATTTTATCCACTTTTAATTGTTTTATTATTTTCGACTTCAATTTTAATATAATATAATAATGATTACTCTGCATTGTTAACTTATTATGCGGATTTAGAAGTATAAAGAGCAAGAAAGTTTGAAAGAGACCAACATTTAAGCCAGAGGATAGTCTTAGAAAAGTGTAAAAATTATAGAAAACAATTTTACCCTTGTTTCATATATTACACCAAAGCTTTCTAATGCCCAACGCGATAATACATGGGAGAAAACTTGACAGCATGGGATTTACCAAACATATTAATTAATACTCACATGGGTAAATTATACAAAAGACAGGAATAACGGTAATAACTGGGTGGTGGAATCAAAACCTCGTTTAAATCTGGAAAGGGAGTATTTCAAGGATATATTAAATTACCTAAGATTTTTAACATTCACGCAGATTCATTCGGACAAGTATTCGAAAAGATTGAAGGCGGAATAAAATTAAGCGGGAGATTAATAGCTAATCGATGTTAACATCTGATCAGATTTAAAAAATAATACTTATTAATGAGCACACCTAACTAAATATAATATCCAAACTATATTACCTGTAATGATTAGAATACATTTTTTCATCTAGTTGGTACCTTCACTGTTATGGCCCGGCATGGCCAGGCGGTTAGGACACTCGACTCGCAATCTGCGGGTCGCGGGTTCGCATCCCCATCCCACCAAACATGCTCGCCCTTTCAGCCGTGGGGGCGTTATAATGTGACGGTCAATCCCACTATTCGTTGGTAAAAGAGTAGCCCAAGAGTTGGCGGTGGGTGGTGATGACTGCTAAATTTACTTACACTGCTAAATTAGGGACGGCTAGCGCAGATAGCCCTCGTGTAGCTTTGCGCGAAATTCAAAACAAACAAACAAACCTTCACTGTTAACGATATTTTCAGCCATAAACCCAATAATATATTAAGGGGTTAGCCAGTATTTCTTCTTTAACTTGTTAAACCAGATTTTACGTGCACGACAAATTAAGCTAACTGTTCAATAATTTTCGCAATGTTTAAACCCCTCTTTTTGGATTCCCCGGATGGGACAGCGGTAAATTTAAGGACATACATCGTTAAAATCCGGGATTCGATTCTCCGCGGTTGACAGAGCAGATAGCCCAATGTGGCTATGGTATAAAAACAAACAAAAACAAAACCCTCCTTTGAGTATTGGCACAAAACTGATCACCTCCAATCTTCATGGCATTCATTCGTTTCCTATATCTTATTTAGAAGTTTATGTATTATATCAATCCTTATCTCTCCAGCTGCCTCTAATAAGACTTGATTTGTTTTCCTAATTTGTAATTGTTTCGTGATCTTTTCTGAGTTTTTTTCCCATAACGGTATTGGCTTTTTTTCTACTTTGGTATCTTTGTAATTCATTTCATACATTACATATTCTATTTCTGCTTTCTGGTTACTTCTACACTCCGTCAAAATACTCTTTCCACCTTCCTTTAATTTTTGTCTTCTATCAATATTTTCCCATCTTTATTTTAATCACATTCAATGTTGGAAATCTAAGAACTTCAACATCTTTTTTGAGTTATTTTTTGTTCTTGATTATTCATCCATTTCTTTGCACTTTCGCGTAATATATGCTTTCTTGTATTTTAAAATGTTCCTATGAAACTCTATATTGAGATGTATGTATTGTATAATTTTCATATTTTATCAGTTTTTAATATTTTCTTCGACATACACGTTGTACGAAGTCTTGTTTGTTTTTCTCGATAAGCTTCATTGTTGTGCTTTTAAATATCTACCTTGTATTTTCCCACACATCGTTTGGTGGTATTTTTTTCCTCAAGCCAGGAAAAGCCGAAAGTTTAGCGTGCTGGACTGTGGAGCTGAGGTTTTATGGTTCGGGTCCTGTTACCGTCAAATAAAATCACGTTTTACGCTTTGGAGCTGTCATACAGTGACGGTCATGTCTCAAGATTTGGTCTGAAAACAGTAGTCCAAGAACTGGCTGTTGGTGGTGTTGACTAGCTGCCTTCCATCTAGCTTATTGGATCAAAATTAG